TTGTGCGATGGTCGCTGCATTTTGTAGCTTTTGTCTTTTTCTTTAAGGCAATCATTGTAACTTCTGTAAAGTCCTTGGGCCACTCTCCACTTTCATATATGGTGTTCATTAGTTTTGTCAGTGTTTTCAAACCACCTTCTCCCAGTAACTTGAGCACATCTCCAGGTACATCATCATCTCCTGTAGCCTTTCCCTTCCTCATTTCCTTGATAAAAGTTTGAATATTGAAAGTTTAAATATTTTGAAACAGTTCCACCTCAGCCTGAGTGCACATCAGATCTTGAATGTCCTGGAGACAAGTCATGCATCAATGAACGCTGTCAGGATCCATGCTTGGTAGCTAACCCATGCGGTTCTGGAGCGGAATGTAACACTATCCAGCACCGACCGGTGTGCAACTGCCCAGATGGTTGGGGTGGTAATCCACAAGTCCAGTGTTACAGACGTAAGTGAAATGAATTAATCTGAAATTGAAATTACCAGATTTGAATATTACATTGTATTGTACAGTTCCAACCTCACCTTATCCACTATTTTTGTGCCTTTAGTCATATCCCTTAGATGTCTGCCATTAAACTTTAATTAAAATTAGGCCAATGCCAATCCAAGACATAGCTGTTCCTTTACAAAAATAGGATGTAATTATAATGTCATCTCTCTTTTGTAAATGCATTAAATTTTTAAGTCCAAGAATTTGTTAACTAACATTATATCCAATCTAGACTAATTCTATTTCAGATTAACATAAAATGTATTACATATCAAGTAAAAATATGTACACTTGGTCACTGTTAATGAAATTCAACTGTACCATTGAAATTACAGTGACAGTATAAGGAGTGATGTAACTGTAAACTGCAAGAAAAGTCGGTTCATATAGTGAGCTTATGTTGCAGTACCACAGTATGGGCTGCTATATGTATCCTACTTCTTCCACTCCATGTCTATGATATTCTCATACTCAAATAAAACCCTAGTAATTTTTAATATTTATAAAATTATATATGGAACTGTCATATACCAGTCATTAAAAGTAATGCATATGAACTGGAAAGGTAGAATATGATACCCAGTATGTTGTATTGAAGTATCCTGTTGCACTTTGTATCCCAGTTTTAGGATTCTCACATCACCGTTTATGTGCAGCTCCATTCATATATTGAATTCACACTTTGAGGCTCTTTGCCTCTTCTTATCATTCATTTTACACTACATGTTTGGCCTAAATGGCCATCATCAGGCGTATAATGTTGTAGATGAAAACAGCTGCTCTGTTGTTACACTGTTGTATTTTGCGTTCTACAAGTAATGTAAAATGCTTAGAAAATCTTTTATAGATTATTTTTTATCATGGTTACTTCTGCTTGCACACATGTTGTGGGTCAGGTGTATGTTCTTTTGAGTGTTGTTTTCTTTCCTTTTTGCTGTGTGTAGCCATTTTGATAGCCAGTATATGGAATGGAAATTTTTCTTTTTACTACAATGACCAGAATGAATCAGGACCTAATCAACCTCCTATTCAATAAATGCCATGGACTCCTTTTCCAGGACTAATAGTGACTAGACTGAAACTTGCCACTCATCTCCATATTGCTATACTCCTTCATAACATGAAGCTTGAACACAGGACAAACACTGCCACTTTTTTCTGTCTACAGTTACATACAAAAATATATTTGTAAGATGGTAATAAAACCTCACTGAATTTTTTTTTTCTTTTTCTCTTCTGTACAGCGGAGTGTAAGGTAGATGCAGACTGTGTCTATGACAAGGCCTGTATCAATGGTAACTGCTTGAATCCTTGTACATATGGATCAGGAAGCCAGTGTGGGAAAGGGGCAGACTGTCATGTTCAGGCCCACCGAGCACAATGTGTGTGTCCTGCTGGCACACAAGGAAACCCTCTGCTTTCATGTATCTCTGTGGTGTGTCAGTATAATGAGGATTGCGCAGATGATGAAGCCTGTGACCGGCTCAATAGAGTATGTCGACTTGTCTGCGAAAGTGACACATGTGCCGATACAGCTGTTTGCATTGGCCGAGACCATCAACCAAAGTGCATTTGTCCACCTGGAACTACAGGCAATGCATACATCGAGTGCTCTGGTATGTTGATAATTTATTGATTATTAATAGAATGCAGTTGTCTGTCACAAGTGTATCTAATCATGTTGAATTTAGTGGCATAGTTCTCACACTTACACTTCATCCTGTTGTGACCATGTACACAATTTCTCTGAAAAATTTTCAAGATTTCTATTAGTAAACATAACTTTTTTTTTATTGCTAGTGGGGTGTGACTAAGTCCCTTGTAATGCGGCCACTTTTGGCCTATTGTACCAGCCTCAGATGGTAGGTGAGGGTGATTGTGGAGCAATTGGTGGAATGAAGATTTGCAGGGGAAACCGAAGTACTCGGAGAAAACCTGCCCCAGTGCCACTTTGTCCACCACAAATTCCATTTGACCAGACCCGGGATCGAACCCAGGCCACTGCGGTGGGAAGCCAGCGACTAACTGCTTGAGCTATGGCGCGGCCTAAACAAATCTTAGTATCAAAACACTGCTCTGTGTTTTAAATGTTACTACAGACTGACAATAATATCATGGTAATTCACTGAATCTCAGTAGCAGTTGCAGTTGGTGTATGTTGCTTCTTTTATTATCAGTAAAATTGGATTTGATGAAACATTGATTGGAATGTTTTTTCCTTACTTCCGCATCAAATGTAAGAGTCTGAATTAGGATATAATATCAAAGAATTCTAAGCAGAACTCATATAGCCTACTTTCCAATTCCATGGATTTGTGGTCCTACAGATGTATTACTATTGTTACTTTTGTTTTATTTCATCTTTTTAAAGACCTTATTACTTATGCGCATACTCTGTGTACATTGTATTTGTAAAATATAATCTCAAAATTTTCTTGCAAACTTTATTTTAAACATATTTTATAGGTATACCGTATATCCAAAAAGTATCTGACTTTATTTTTTTCCGCTGTAAGTAATGGCCAAAGGGGTGGGGAAACTGAGCGTAGCGGTAGAAGGGACTTTCATGCGCATGCGTGATTTTTTGCTGACTCGCAACAATGCTGGATGCGTCTGTGGCTGCCAGATAGTGAAGTGGTGTAACACGTGTTTGTCGCATTCTCGTTTTGCTCAAGATGACAGAACGCTTGGAGCAGCGATACTGCATTAAGTTTTGTCAGAAACTTGCGGATACCCAAGTGGAAACAATTCGCAAAATTCAGCAGGTTTTCGGCGATGATGCAATGGGTGTCACTCAAATTAAAGAGTGGCTCAACTGCTTTAAACACAGCCATATGTCGGCGGACAGTGAGCCGCATTCCAGGAGACTGTCAACGAGCTGAAATGCTGATGTCATTGAAAAAGTGTGGACACTGATCATGGAGGACCATCATTTGTCCATCCGTGAAGTTGCTGATGAGGTTGGGATGAGCAGATGTTCCGCAAACATAATTTTAACTGAGGATTGGGGCATGCGAAGAGTGGCGGCAAAATTTGTGCCCAAGCTACTTTCGCCAGAGCAGCAACAACTCCACCTTGAGATCGCACAGGACATGCTGGAGTGCGCCAACAGGGTTCCTGAGTTCCTGAATACTGTGATCACTGGTGACGAGTCATTGGTGTATGGATATGACCCGGAAACCAAGGTCCAGCTGTCACAATGGAAGCATACAACACCCCCGAGGCCCAAAAGAGCACGACACGTTTGTAGCAATGTGAAGGTGATACTGACTGTTTTTTTCGATTACCGGGGTGTTGTGCATCATGAGTACGCACCACTGGGCCAGACTGTCCATAAGGAGTACTATCAAGCAGTCCTCCGCCATCTTCGTGGTGCAGTTCGGTGCAAGAGACCAGAGGTGTGGGATGCATGCAACTGGCAGCTGCATCATGACAACGCCCCAGCTCATTCATCGCACCTGATCCAGGGTTTCCTGGCCAAGCATGGCATTCTGCAGGTTCGCCAGGCTCCCTGCTCACCTGACATGGTTCCTTGTGATTTCTGCTGTTCCTGAGATTGAAGGAACCGCTAAAAGGCTGCCATTTTGGCAGTGGCTAGGACATCATACAGAAGGTGACGGAACAGCTGAACGCCATTCCAAAATAAGCGTTGCAGAATTGCTTCCACCGATGGAAGGACCGCTGGGCTAAGTGTGTGGAGTCACAAGGGGCCTACTTTGAAGGCGATTAAGTACCACCCAGATACAGAACTTTTTTTTTCCCAGCCCAAGGTCGGATACTTTTTGGACAGAGTAGTATTTATGATCTATCGCTATATGAAATTTCACCTAACTTGAATACTTTATTACTTGTTTAATTACTGCCAGAAAACCAAAACTGAAAACAATTTTTTATAGCGGCCAAGTTAGTTTACATTTGATAAAAAGTTACCTTAATAGAATTGTATTTTTTCAAAGATCTCTTGCCTTGCCTCATTTCAGGACCACAAATAATTAAGTGGTGCTGCAGTCTCACAAGTTTGTATGTTGTCATGGATGCCAGAAAGGGGGGGGTGCAGCCAGGCATATGCCCCTCTCCCCTCAATTTCTAGAAAAGACCAAAAGAAAAAGAAGGAAATATAGCAACTATTAATACAAAAATTGACAATTTTCTTTTATCCTGAATACTTGAAGACAATAAGTAAAACTAGTCTTGAAAAGCTTGAACATAAGTTTTGTAAGCAAATTTTCTGGCACCTCCCTCCCAGGGATAAATTCTATCAACTCCATGGACATACACCTTATTGCTATTTCTGATTATAGGAATTTATACCGTGTGACACAGAGGCATACAGTGGTATAAGGTTCATGTGAAGTTTTGTGAAAATTTATTACCTGTTTCAAAAGTTAAACTTGGGGGGGGGGACAGTCACATTAGAGAGACACATATGCACTCAGCATGATGAACTCATTAGCTTATAATTTCTCCCTTAAGGAGTGAAAGTAAGCTAAAAATAATCCCAATATATCTTTAGAGTTTTACATAAACTAACATTTAACTTATGGAAATAGCCCTTCTTGAGAAACCAGCAGTGACTTGGCTGGTCAAAAAGTTCCCTTGCAGGTTTATTGCAATGTTCTCATGAGGCAGTATAATCTAGCCTGCACATTTATGTCATTAAGCTCCATTTCAGTATTATGCCATTTATGCCTAGATCTCAGTTTGTTGACATAAACAACTAACTTTCATGGAGCTGAACTCTTCTTGAGAAGCTGCCAGCTGTGCAGCTACTCAAGGATTTCCCAGCATTTTATGGAACCCAAATTCATTACCATGTTCACAAAAGTCCTCCAATGGTCCCTATCCTGGGCCAAATCAATTCAGTCCATACCACCCCATCCTATCTTTCTAAGATTCATTTTAATATTGCCCACCAAGCTTCATCTTGGTCATCCTAGTGGTCTCTTTCCTACTGGCTTTCCCACCAATGTCCTATATGCATTCCTCTTCTCCCCATCCATGTTACATGCCCTACCAATCTAATCCTCTTTGGCTGGATCATTCTACGTAATTATACTTGTTGAAGATCACAATTTATGAAGCTCCTCACTGTGCCCTTTTCTCCAACCTCCTATCAATTCATCCCTCTTTGGTCCAGATATTCTCTTTAGCACCATGTTCTCAAACACACTTTGTCAGTGTTTGTCTCCTAATGTCAGAGACCACGTTTCACACCCATACAGAATCACAGGCAAAATTATAGTTTTGTGTATTCTAATTTTTTCATTATTAGATGGCAGACAAGAGGACAAAAGATTCTGGATTGAATGATAGCAAGCATTACCCAAATTCAGTCTCCTCTCTTAATTTTCTCATGAATCTAATTTTTATTTTTTACTGTTTGTCACAAATATATGAACTGTGCCACATTTTCAGAGGATCTGTTAGCTATTTTTACATCATGAATTTGCCCTGCATTCTGGTGATGAGGCAGCAATATATACTTGGTTTTCTCTGTGTTTATTTCTAGATCAATCTCAGAACTTAAATGCTATTATAAAATATAACTATATTTATTTAATTGTACAATACTTTATTCAGATTTGTGGATTGTAATGAAAATTGCAGTTCTGAGGTGTTTCCCTTCATTTACAAAATAGTAAATTCAACTTAAATTTGAAATTATATTGTTAACTTCATGATCATTTCAGGTCCAAGAATTCCAGAACCACAACCAGAATGTACACAGGATGCTGAATGCCCATCACAGCTGGCTTGTATCAGCTCTCATTGCCAGAATCCTTGCACAGTGGCAAATGTGTGCTCACCAGATCAAGAGTGTCGTGTTCTTGACACCCTCCCCCTCCGTACTGTCATGTGTCAGTGTCCTCCAGACACCATTGCTGACAGCAGTGGACGTTGCAAGCCAATTGGTGAGTATCAGTCAAATTGCATTTCACAATTTTGGAATAATTCTTTCCTATCTGTATATCATTTAAATAGTTTAGATATCAGAAAGGATCCAGAACCAAAAGAACTGAGCAAATTAGTTTTCTGGTAACATATCAGTTTTTATTTAATTAATATGACAGTATGATACATTTTCCTTCAGCTGTATGCCTTTCCTCCTGAAGTGTTTAGGAACTCTAAGAATGCAGTCAGAAGAAATAGTGATGGTTTCTTTGCCAGAGGTGACAAATTTCTTATTCTGGTGAAATTTGATGTCTGGACAAGTTTTATATAGTTTAAGTGAAAGGATACCTTCTGAGAGAAATATTTTCTTTGAATTATGTGTTATACAATTTCATGTCAATTAAATCAAACACAGCAGGTAAACCTATTAAAGGAAACTAGAAATTAATAAACTTTTCAGTTTAACTAGCCAGAGAGATTCTGTTACATAAATACCTATGTGAGTACTTGAATCACATCTTTCTTTAAACAAATGTACTGATAAAATATGAATTTAATTCTGTTTTCCCTTCAACAGTGCAAAAACAGCCACAGTGCACATTGGATTCGGACTGCAATGACTCTGATAAATGCATACATAGCCACTGTGTGGAAGCATGTCAGGTGGATTTATGTGGAGTAAATGCCCTCTGCAACTCTCATGGTCATCGTGCAGTATGCTCATGTCCACCAGGATATGAAGGCAACCCACACATTGAATGCAATAAAGGTACAAATCTCCATTGTGAATGTAATAATTATTAATTCCATTCTCACTCCCAAGTGTGCTTGTGGGTATCTGCATCCTCAGCTCTGAATAACTGATTTTCGGATTTATACAATGAATTATACGTGTATATATTGTCACGTGTTTCCTAGGCAATGCGACAAGAAAATTTACGTGGGTCTCGGATTTGGACGAACATTTATTGGACAATCCCACTTTACACTCACAGATACAATTAGTCACACTTATATAACGTCCTTGGACATTTTCTCTTCAGTTTTGTACCCTCTCACACTGCTGATCTTAGGGAAGTGTCTTCTGCTCTGCTCAGAGCTCAACTGTCCTTAGCTCTCATCAGATATGAACTCTCCTGGTCTCTTGTTGGATATGAACTGTTACATCCTGCACTTGGGCTGGATAGGGAACACCTTGTTGAAGGGTTAATTTCGCCTGCTGCTATGCCATGAATCTCTTGTTGCCACAGGAATGCGTGTCTGCCTCAAACAATTCGTTACAAATAATGGTGGAAACCCCACTGTTAGACTTTCATCTCCGGGGCAATGATTTCCTAGGAACTGCTTGCCATTAACTAGTGATGGACGTCTTATAGTCAGGCTTTCAGGCAGCACACCACAATATTGAAAAATATAAAACTAGAAAGAGTAAGTAGCTTGAAAGACATGATTATAATAAAATGTACTGACAGTCAAGGGTCGTGTCCTCCTTGTATACATCATTTTGTAATAAAATATGAGAATACAGGGTGTCACACAATAATGTTCCCACATTGAAACTGTATGCACATATATTGTTTGGTGTAGCGGCCTCCGTAGTCTAGAGGCAACGGTCCAACCTCATGACTCGTGGTACGCGGGTTCAAACCCGGCGGAGGTCGTCGAATTTTTAAGGGCGGAAAAATTCAGGGAACAAGTCCTCCTGGAGGGACTTTAAGCCGTGGGTCCCGTGTCGTAGCTTTACGGCATGTAAAAGAACCTCATATCTCCTAAGGAGATCACTGAGCCAAATTCAAGGATGTTTCCCACCCAACAAATAGTCTCTAACACCTTTGATAGATGGGGGAAGCATTATAGATACTGCCAAGCTAGTGGAGGCCGAACTTGCTGGCTCGGTCGGGACTGATGGTACAGACCAATATCGGTAGGATATAGAGACTGGTAGAATATCATAGAGGGAAGCACAATGGACCAATACTGGTCTAAGTGCATGGGGAAACCCACCCTCTCCAATAACTAACTAACTATTGTTTGGTGTTGTAGATTGTTTTTGGGTGCAGGCATTCTATACATCTTCAATAAGAATGGCTTGGTGATATTTTTGTCATTTTATTGGACTTTTTGGAATAGCTCACATGGTTTTTAATGCAAGACAACATTATTTGGAATTCACTGTTTTGAGCAGAAGTATGTCCAAATCACATTGTTGTAGGAAAATTTTTAAAAGATTGAGAGACTGAAGTTTTCACAAAATCATATGTATCTGTATGTGTATGTAGGCTTACACAGGTATGACTTGTTATGTGACAGTATATAATGATATATAATTTGGTACCTTCCTCTATAAAAGTAATAGCAAAATTTGTGGCTAAAAATATGGAAACAGGAATTATTGAATAAAATACTTAATTATAAGTTAAATTCCTCTTTTGATATTTCAGAAGTTTAGTTTTTTTCATGAAATTAAAAGAATATGTATTGTCCTCTCCATGTCACATCTGAGTACAGCTTCTTTCTTTCTAGGCAAGCAATGTTCTATGCATTTGCTTATATATAAGTGTTACGAATTGGTTGCTACGGGGGTGGGGGATCCTAATGGGCCGGGTAAGCCATTACTGCCCGTCTCAGTTTACACATAATACAATTGCGTTTATTGCTGGTATAATATAAATAAAATACAGTGGACCTAGTGGAAGGTCCTCACTACCCCAGTCCACTCCGGAGGGGCCCAAACTCTTCCGTTCCACCGTATCCTTTTTTATTTGGTGGAAGTTACTTTGGCAAGGTAGGGGGGCCTCCCCTACCTGAGTGGGGTCAAACAGCTCGGTAAGCCTGTATTCCGTTACTTACCGCCCTTTGGGCCCAAGTTCGAAACCCCCCCCCCTTTTTCTGCAGGCGGTAGGGGGTGGACCGCGGATACAGGGCTGCCAAGCGTCTCCCAAGGCAGTGTTGCCAGATCCCCGACGCTTTCCCAACGTAGTTTCGGCCAGAGCGTCAGGCTCGTAACATAAGTAAAGTAAAGTAAGAAAAGGTATCCCTGTAACAGGCCGTGGAGGCCCATAGGGTTGTGAAGTGTTGAGATACCCACATTTTCTAGATAATCGGAACATAGATGGTGGCAAGGTTGTTAGCCCTACACACAGGCTGCCCTTTACCCCCAAGAATATTCCTGGTACTCATTTCTGTTAGAGGCTGAGTCGACCCCAGGGCCATAGTGTGGCTGGAAGAATTAGGTAAATTGGAAGAAATCTAAAGACCTCATCGGGACTTGAACCCTTGACCTTCTGGCTTGTAGCATAGTGCCTCAACCAACTACACTACCACGTGCCCCATTTGCTTATATATATATATAAATGATATGTTTATGTGCAGTTCAATGAACATTTATTTATTATTTATGTGTTTAAGTTTATAATATTCTTTTTGCTTTGCATTGCAGTGCATATACCACCTTTCACACCACCCGAATGTTATTTTGACACTGATTGTGCAAAGGATCGGAGCTGTGTGAATCAAATATGCTTGAACCCATGTATTGTGGGTAACCCTTGTGCTAGTGGAGCATTCTGTCATGTCCAGGATCATACTCCAAAATGCAGATGCCCTGCTGGTTATGAAGGCAATCCAAGGATTGAATGCAGGCCACGTAAGTTCTAATTACTATATTAGGATCCTAATGTTCTAATGTTAAGTGAAAAATTATGCTCAAAGCCAGAAATTGAGCTCTTCCCCCACTATTAATAGCTTTCTGTCAGACTCATTCACTTATTTATATGTGTTCTATAAATACATACGTATTTTAACTATAGTATCAACTTTACCTTAACTTTTAATGTCCTAAGTTCACATGTCAGTACACTGAAAAGTACAGTTGTTGTGGCCAAAGTACACATATTTGTGCAATTAAACACCTCAATAAAAGCACATGCACCATTCTAAATAATTATTTTTAAATATAGTAAAATTCAATATTAAGCAATATGAGTATATACAAGCTTCACATCGCCCTCCCCCCAGCATCTGAGTCAAATAACTGAAGAGTGTAGCAAAAATGTGAATCTTAGAGAATAGCAAAATAAAGCTTTTAGTGGTTCCAGATGTTTCACAACACCAAAGACAATGGATATATGTCAAGTGTTACTAGAAAGAATGATTTTATAATGCTGAAACACTTTGTGAGAAAGCAGAGAACTTTTTATACCATACACATCACAAAAAGTGTAACTTTTCTCCTAAATATTTTCAAATCTTATGTTACAATATGTGACATTATGTTCTTTTCTAATAAAAACAAGGCTAATTCCATTCCTTTGTCATAAAAATTGTATTTGATGCAGAATTTTTAATAAAGTGTTTTAAAGCATTTAAATGCCCAAGAGCAGTCCGACATTTAGGCTCCGTCTAGCTTGCCTTGCCACCATTTAAAAAGTCTGGCATTTAAAGGTTAAACATTACTTCAAATAAAACTTGAACTTATTACTTATTTTTATCCACTAAGCCTTAAGAATTATGTACACTCTGTGAAACACAAATCAGGCTTGCTGCATATTATTGGCAGAAGAAGAAACCAGGTCCATCTTACATACCATATTTTAAAAAAATATTATATCATATTGAAGAAATACATTGTAACATAAAATTTTTATTTCTTTGTGTTTTACAAATTTTGTTATGAAATATTTCCTTTGGTCTAGAGAACATTGAGCAGCATATTTTTAGAATTTAACCTAGCTTTTAAGCAAAGCTCTCATATCAAATTTAAATGTGTAAATATAGTATGATATACATTAAGAAATCGAATTTTGTGTTTCATATGAACTGACATTTTCAATTTTCTGGGGTGGACCAAAATTAAACCTTACTAATAGACTGCATTATCTATATATCCACTCCCCCTGTGTCTTCATAGCATAGTGCTAAAGAAGTTAAGCACATGAACAACTTTACCTTAATAGATTTTAATAAGGCCAGCAATCTTAAATATTATGATATCTGTTCAGTTAGAGTGGAACTATCTCACATTAAGGGTTGTGTCAAGATTATTGACATGGAACTTCAAACATGAAATCAGAGACATAGAATTACTGGGTTTTTTGGACTTTTTCCATTCTCCAGTATTCTAGAAAATAGAAAACAGAAATTGGATCTGTTTCTGTCCTCAAGTGTGAGGGGGGGGGAAGGAACCTACTCAGTTGAACCCCTTAGTAAGAGCCCACGTTAATTGAGTAGGTGTCTTCNTTAAAAAATTACGTTTTCTGTTTTCTAGAATACTGGACCCAGTAATTCCATGTGTTCTACACCATTGTCACAACCCTTTAGAATGAAAGCAAAGAGTTCTGTACTCAAAACTGTTTGCATATCCATAAGCCATTATATCATACTGTTACCATGGCAAAAGAAAGTTTTTATTTCTCCTTCACAGTTCTTCAGTAAAGAATATGAGTTCAGATCATCTTTGTCTCCTAAACAGGAAATATATTTTGTTTTATTAGGTTAGAATTGAAACTTTCCAGTCTTCCAGTCTTGTTTATTGGTGAGGCTTATTAGAATTGAGAAACTTATTCCTGATCTGATTATAATGTTAATGCTGTGTTTTGTTTTCTGTAGCTTCTGCACCAAATGTTGGTTGCACATCGAACTCTGAATGTTTCCTACAAGAGTCTTGTGTCAATGGATTGTGTGTGAATCCCTGCAACTGTGGACCAAATGCTGAGTGTAGGGTTTCAAACCACTACCCAGTTTGTTACTGTCAGCAAGGTTATTCTGGCAATCCACAAACTGGATGCTTCAAAGGTACTTATTTTTAGACATCCAAGTTTTAACAGAAACATGTACAGATGTGTACAAAATATGTTGGTAATATAAAAATGACAGTAGTCTGGCCATAAGAGCAATGTGAAACTTTACATAATCCTAGAATGACACTTTTTATTCCTTTAAAGACAGCACATTCTCAAGGATATTCATGATAACCAAACAGAGATAGTTAAATCTTTAATTTTCATTTCAGGCATCCTGTTGTGTTATAATATATAACTTCCTTATTAAGACCATCACATTCTCTATAGAACAGACAATACTTTGTAAGATGAGGCACCAACTAAATATGAATTAACATTAATATTACTACATCTACATCACGAGCCTCCAATAACCGTTTTTATACACAAAATATAGAATACTCTAATTTGTCCATGGGAACAAAACAAAATCACAAAAACCAATGACTGATTTGATGATGTAAAGCATCAATCAAAGAATTCTATTCTTGTTTAGTACTATAACTTTTGTTTTATATAATCTAATTTATTGTATTTTTACGTCAAGTATTTTAATATAATTAATATTATTGTAGTCAGTTTTATTAATGCTGCAGTTCAGTGGTGTATATATGTTAGCCATGTATTTGCCTGATGATGGCTATTAATAGCCAAAACATGTAGCAGAGCCAAAACCGGGCACTGACCTTGATATACAGAGTGATTCAGAAAGATGGACACAATTTCAATTGGCTATATTTCCCAAATTATATGTTGCATTTGAATTCTGTAAATTACGTTTGATTATACATACATGGAAGTTTATAGACGTTCAGTGTTCCCCCGTCCGGCTGCATGGATAACATCTAGACGGTAGCTGAATTCATCCCACACTCGATGACAAATATCTTGCGTCACTGAGTTCACCACAGCTGTGATACGGTTTCTTAGGCCATTCAAATATGTGGGAAGAGGTAGTACATAAACTGCATCTTTCACANATAGAATACTCTAATTTGTCCATGGGAACAAAACAAAATCACAAAAACCAATGACTGATTTGATGATGTAAAGCATCAATCAAAGAATTCTATTCTTGTTTAGTACTATAACTTTTGTTTTATATAATCTAATTTATTGTATTTTTACGTCAAGTATTTTAATATAATTAATATTATTGTAGTTAATTTTATTAANAGTGGCCAGAACTGAAGTGCTAGGTCTTCATTCCCCCTTCGACCTATCCATCGTTGAGGTAGAGATTCATTTGGGAAACGTCAAACATTCAGGTGCCAATGTGGTGGAGCTCTGTCCTGCTGGAAAATGTAATCTCCTGAATCTTCATTCATTTGAGGAACAAGCCAATTTTGCAGCATTCTAAGATACATTACTCCAGTAACAGTGTCTTCATCAAAAAAAAAGGTCAATAAACCTTTGTTAACGATATTGCACAGAACACATTAACTTTCAGGCTGTCCCTCACATGTTCGCGTGTTACACGGGGATTTTGTAGCCCCCATATGCGAACATTGTGCCTGTTGACTTTCCCACTTAGGTGAAACGTAGCTTCATCGCTAAAAATTACACAAGGCAGAAACAGTTCATCTTCCATGTTTTTGAGCATACGGTCACAAAATTCTACATGCTTGACCTTACCGTTTGCGCGAAGAGCCTGTACCAGTTGTAGGTGGTATGGTTTGTACACTAACCAGCGCCTCAATACATGCCAGAAAGTTGTTTGCGATAGTCCAAGTTCTCTACTAGCACTACGGGTTGACTTCATTGGGCTACACTCAAAGCTCACTTGAATGTGCTCCACGTTCTCCTCCCATACACACGATCGGCCCAGGCTTTTACCCTTACACAGAGAGCCAGTTTCATCAAATTGTTTATTCCAACAATAAATTCTCTTCCTTGTTGGAGGTTGGATGTTAAACTTACAACGAAGTGCACGCTGCACCGCAGTCGCAGACTCACTTTTACTGAACTCACGAATGCAAAAGATCTTGTGTTGCATAGTAGCCATCTCGCTTACAACTGATGCAGTGCTGGAGTGCTCTAGCAGTAGTATTAGAAACTTTACAACACCGTCTTTCAAATGTACTTTGCAGAATTCAAATGCAACATATAGTTCAGGAAATATAGCCAATTTAAATTGTGTCCATCTTTCTGAATCACCCTGTAGTTGTGTTGTGACAGTCTTAATAAAGAAGTTGTAGATCTTTGATGTTGTAAGGTGTCTGGAATTAAAGTTTCTTGTAGTTTGGTCCTCTGTTCTTTTGTTAAAATGGCCACATTTTATAATTGTTTAAGATATTGCAGTGCAACAGAAAGCACTTTTGAAACTTTAAGAATATAGCCATAATTTATACTGATTCATTAATATTTTTGCATGTTTCACTATTTTAAAGGGGTGCATTAAGCCTCATGGTGATAATTGAGGAGCTATTTCAAGGAAATAATGGCTCCAGTCTAGAAAACCGAAATTAACGGCCATGGGGATTCGTTGCACTGACCATGCGACACCCTCTATCCGCAAAAGTTGGCACTAAACTTTGCTGACAAGCGGCGGTCATTCTGACTGTATAGTTAGCTTGCGGACTAAAATCACAGCGTTTGTTTTTTAACTAAAAATTTAATTTTAAGATGTAGGTTCTGGGAGTTGCAAAGTATCTACCAAATGAATGTACTTAATAATGTAAGACACTGTGTTTCACCTGTAGGGGAATTAGACTGGCAACACTGGAATATTTGTTTCTCAAAGCCATGATGAAATGAATGCGCTTTCACTCTTCTAATTTTTGCTTATGTATTCATTTTGTGACTGGCCAAACATAACTGCAAAATCCATCATACAGGTCACACAGCAGAAACAATGACTCACTGTTTGAATTTCATACACTTGGTAAATAACAAGAATCACTTAGGTCACTGCAATTCATATTATTGGTTAGTAAAGACTGGAACATGGGAAACTGGGATAACTCAGTTTAGTGACTAGACTATGTGCTGGACAGCAGGGGAATCAGAGTTTGATTCCCGGCAAGGCAAGAGATATTTCTCTTCCCAGTAGAATCAAACAGGCTTCCTTGCCCATCCAGCCACCTATACAATAGGTAGATACTCAAATTTGCTTCCCCAGTTGTAAAGCAGCCAAGGCATGAAGCCTTCACATAGTGTCAAAGTTAAATATGGTGGGTTCATAACTCCACTCCTACATATATCTTCATGATGTCTTGCTTAATTAATTAAGCATAAAAATAACTTTACCCTTACATTGTAGATTGGAACATGGACAGACACATAGTTTTCAGGCTTCGTAAAGCAAAGTTATGTTGTAGCATAAATCAGACATCCTACAAGATTTTCTCAAAACTCTGTACATGAGTTTATTCCCTCATGAGCAATGATTTTAAGGCATTCAAGACAGATCAACCAACTGTAAGAAGAACTTAACATTTTAGTTAGTTAGTTTTCCTGAAGTACTCTTCCTGTTTATTTTATATATTGTTTGTTGATTACTATCTGTAGCTCAGAATGTATGGCCTCAAATAGTACAGTGATTAATCAGTAATGAATTGGAAAGAATGTGGAAGGAAACCATCATGGCATAATTTCTTTGTACTGACACCTCATTTTCTGGGAAGAACTGATGAAACTCATGAGAACTTAATCATAGCAACTGGTCTCTGGTCCAAGTATGGCTGTATGCCATGATATCATTTTCTATAGCTTTTGATATATGATGAATCTGCATCTTTGTTCACCTCTTGACCCACTTCAAGGGGTTTTCTTACTGAGGAGAAGTTAATGCTGACAAGTTATGTTACACCTGCTGTCACAAAGCTTGTACAATTTTTCTGTGAAAATTGACACAAATGATAACACTTTGGGCTTGTACATTAGTCTCTTGACTAACAGGGGGTAGATTATCCAGAGGCTTTGCTGAGAAAATTGGCTGGTGTGTCCAATTCTCAAAAGATAAACCTCATGTGAAACCCTTTTTTTAAAAATAACACGTATGAAACAAAGGAAATTTTTATTTCACATTTGAATATTTACTTCAAAACTCAAGAAGACTTTGTTTTTTCTTTTTAATGTTTAGAAGCTTACCACCATCTTTGTTAACTAAACCATGACAAGCAGGCCCAGCTCATATTGCCCTCTGATGGTGAATTAAATAATGCTAATTATAGGCAAGTTCTCAATTAAATAAAACAAATAAATAGAATAAAACATGAAACTTTCCTTATATTCGAGAATTATTTGAAATTCATTTGTCTTCAAACTAATTATATGACTTTGTTTTATTATAGTTGGATGTCAGTTAGACAGTGACTGCAGCAATGACAAAATGTGCTATAATGGCGAATGCCTTAATCCGTGTATCTTGGGAGTGCCTTGTGCTGCCAATGCAGAATGTTATGGTGATGCTCATCGTGCAGCATGTAAATGTCCTTCTGGCTATGCTGGAAATCCCTTTGATCACTGTGAGAGGGTTGAATGCCGAGCGAACACAGACTGTCCTGCAGATCGGGCTTGTTTGGAACATCGTTGTATAAATCCATGTGCCAGTATTGCAAATCCACCATGTGCCTCAAATGCTATCTGCTATGCCCAGAACCATGCAGCAGGATGCAGATGTCCTGAACATTTGCCTATTGGAAACCCACTGGCATACTGTGAACGTGTGGCTCCACCACCTGAAGAGCCAGAATGCCGAACTGATGTGGATTGTCCAAGCCGCTTGGCTTGTATTAAGGATGAATGTGTGAATCCCTGTGAAGAACTGTCACCATGTTCTCCAACAGCACAGTGTAGAGTACTAGACACAGTTCCTGTCCGTACAATGACATGTACTTGTCCAGAAGGATGGGTGCCCAACGTTGATGGGGAATGTAGACCTGGTAAGGAGCCAGGCAGACATAAAATACAGTATACTGTTGTTTGTCTGTCTGTTAATTGATTGTTTTATGGATAATATGTTATAATATTTCTTTAGTTTTCATTATTTATTGAAGGTTTATAAAATTGTGTTTTGTTAAACACACGAACGACTGTGAAATAAGTTTTCATCTATCTTTTCCATTACATACTTCTACCAGTCCCTTCAATGGCATCCTTGACATTCTGCAATAATCTGTTGTGAGAAGTGTAAGTTAGCAGTGGAGGTGAAGGCTGTACTTTCATTTCCCATGATACTAAGGTGCTAATCATATACTTATAAACAGCAACTGTTTTTTTTATGTAAAAAGTGTTTTCTATTATTCTTATATTTATTTTTAGCCTGAGGGTCAGAACTGGTAGATGAGTAACTTTTGTCTGTTTGGAGGGGTTTGGAGAGCTGAGAAAATCACTGCTTATAACAATTAAAACTGTGATAACCTTATTAGCATAAATAGTACATGATGCAGAATGTAGATTAAAACANATAGAGAATTGAATATCCTAGTAGTGTAACAGTTTGTGTTATATAGCATATAGTAGTACCTGTTAGAAAGTCAGTCCCACCTTTAAATGTTACAGAGAGGGGTCATTGTGATAGTAAATTTAGTATCCATGTATATTTGATTAGTGTTTCTACTTCCTTTAGTTACAGTAGAACCACTATTTAGACTGATAAGGGANCTGCAAGCGACAACACCGTGAGAAACGGTAAAGCAGACTGCTTCTAGCTGTCTAGCTAGCTGTTTTCTAGCTGTCTTTCATATTACACTATTTTTATTTAAAAGCATGAGACCTTGTCTAGGGATAAGTCATTGGACTTTTGTGACAGAGGTCTCATGTTTGGGACCAGCCAGATTCATTGTTAATTTATCCTTGTGCTTTTCTTTCACTTTTCTTATCTCTGACAGAAGTTGAAACTTCATTTGGATCCTCTGTTAAGCTGCAGTTCCCTTTACCAGCCACCATCCTGCCAGTGGGAGCAGTAAGGTCTCCTTAAATGCTTCAATCTCACAAATGGACACATATTACTGTATAAATCAGTCAGAGTCAGGGAAGAACAAAATATTTCAGAACAAATAACCTACTTCTTTCTTTCCTTTTCTGTCTTCATAGACATCAGAATTTATTATGTAGCTTCATGACCACTTAGTACTTCAGAATCTAACACTGAGAGTAGCGCTAGACCAAGTCTGTATGCAGGTTGGGGATTTGGGATAAAGTTCGTCAGCTCCCAGAGAAATTTTACACCAAGAATGTATACAGAAAGAAGTGACAATTGTGCAAACTCTAGTAGAATACTTCCCAGATTCTGACCTGTGAATACATTTGAATTTTGTAATGTAATCAGAATTCTGGAAAATATATCCATATCTCTGCTAGAATAAATAAGGTATTTATACTTGTTATATTCTTGTATCATAATTAATATTAATCTGCATTCATTCTAAGATATGAATAATGAAAAAGAAATCTACAACAACAAAGATATCTTGATTTTCATGGATAAAAATCATTAACCTAATCATGATTAATGCATTGCTTCTGCTTGCAGTGATAGTGCCAATGCCTCCAGGCTGTACAAGTGACAATGACTGTCCCAGCACTGAGGCCTGTATTAACCGTGTGTGTCGAAATCCTTGTGACTGTGGTTCAAATGCCAATTGCCTTGTCCAGAATCACCGTCCCATCTGCTCTTGTGAAGCTGGCTTTGAAGGCAATCCAAACATTGCTTGTCACACTGGTAAGACGTCCATATGTATATTAACTAGTGAAGTTAATAATTACACCTGATGCACTTGTTCTTACAGACTTATTTATAAGATTCTTTTAATCTAACTTGAAAGAAAACATTTATGGTAATTTTACTATCATGTAGTATTTTATGGCAGAAACGTATACTGTAGGCATTAATGAATAATTTTTTAGTGTAAAATAATATGTAGTTGAGGTTCTGTTTAAGAACCCTTGGTACAAACATTCCAGTGCTTGACTCAATGTAAATTTAAAAGTTAGCAAACTTGGAAATGAAACATTGTATAACAATGCCTGAAAATTTTTAAATTTAACTTTAAAAGTTAGAATCCATTGCCTTGTTTTTGTTCTTACTGTACATTAGTCCACTGTGTTACTTACACCCAGATGTTTGGTCAGACAATTATGGAATTGTAAAGTAATAAATACATTTGGAAAAGCTTATTAAATAAGTTAAACAATTTTTATTCTGTTAATTATGGTCAAATGTAAACATACCAGTTTGAAAATTTCTTCTGCCTGTCAGTTACTTGTTCCACCTAAGTAGTCACAAGCTTTCAGTTAGCCCCTTGCATTAAAAAATTCTGTGCCACTCAAATCAAAACTCAGGTTTTTATTCTATTCCCAGCATTTAGTCAGACACCTAGGTGTATGTCCTTTGAGTATCCTACCAACATTTCTAATTACTATTTTCAAAATAGTAGCACTTTCATAAGAAAGTACAATCTGCTGTAAGACAGTCGCTTCTTAAAGAACTGTATGGCAAAGAAATTACTCAAATTTCTACAAGTGCACCTTCCTTTCTCTAATATTCATTTTAAATTGTCTGCTAAGTGATATCTATAAAACCATATTTAATTTGATGTACAAGTAATGTTCATTTTGAAGCAGTTTTTTTTTATCTCAAAATTTCCTTTTCTTACAGTTGGATGCCGAAGTGACTCCGAATGTGAATCTGGAAAGGCCTGTGTGAATGCCAACTGTGTGAACCCCTGTCTAGTCAACAATCCTTGTGGTGCAAATGCTGAATGTTATGCATATGGCAACAGAGCTGAGTGCCGTTGTCTGAGTGGTTATCGAGGAAATGCATATGTACGTTGTTATATTGTTGGTTGTCGCAGCAATAATGATTGTCCCAATGATCGTTCCTGTATCAATGCCCAGTGTATCAATCCTTGTGTTTATGATAATGCTTGTGCACCTCGGGCAGAATGCCGTGTGCAGAATCACTTTGCTGTTTGCCGATGCCCACCAGGATACATTGGGAACCCATACGTTGGATGCCGACCTGAACCTCGACCTGAATGCAAAGAAGATCCTGATTGTCCCACCAGACTTGCTTGCCTTAATGAAAAATGTCAGGATCCATGCAGTGTTTTAGAGCCATGCAGACGTCCATCAGAATGCTTGGTTGTGGGATCAGTACCAGTCCGCACCATGATTTGTGTGTGCCCCAGTGGTTACGTTAGTAGTGGTAGTGGCACTTGTAAGGCCACGCCTCCCGTCACAAAAGTAGGAGAATGTGTCAGTGATATTGACTGTCCAGAAGAGAAAGCCTGTGTTCGAGGAGTGTGTATAGCGCCATGCAATTGTGCACCCAATGCAGATTGCAGGATCAAAGACCATAAGCCTGTCTGTACTTGCAGGGAAGGATACGAAGGAAATCCAGAGATAGAATGTGTACGAGGTATGTTGAGTGATATATTTCAGATACTATTTTATGCTTCAATATGTGAATCAGAGCATCATAATATTATCAGAAGATGAAACATTTTTAGCATAGTTACAGTAATTGTGAATTCACAGAGATAAATAATGTAAATAGTAGAGCAAGCAGGTATCTCATTTGAAGAGTTCTGTCTTCTGGGATTTGATGCCATGTTGTCCTTTGAAAGTCAAATGATGTTTCATAGAAACATGTCACCTCCATCTTCAGATTTAAGGCATAAGCCAAGCAAGAAACCAGCATGATCAGGTAGAAAGCAGTGGACTACATTATATCCCTTAAGATAGAGTTCTTCTTAATTACTTCTGTAAGAACCTCAGGTCCTACAGGCATCTCATTTCTAGTGATTATTTTGTTAGTGGAATGTTTGGAATTCCATACCCTTTCCATTAGTTTAATGTTAATGATTCAGTGCTAGAATGAGGTACAAACAAGTAGTCTGCCTGATTCACCAAGTCTGAGACCATCTGTTTTATTTTGTAGAGCTTTGGTGGAATACACTTTGAGAAAGAATGCCACATTTTGTAACTACAGTATTTGTAGTAAAGGTATTTTTTGGGTTTGTCAGCACAGCAAACAGTTGATTATGAAACTGATATTAAGGTCTTAATTTTGTTTTCTATTCCCACAGTGCGTTTCGATATGCAGGGATCATCATTAAATAATTGAAACAGAAAAAGAAAATTGAGCACCAATTATCAATAGAACCTCCGTCGAGTGTAACAATATATATTCTTGTCACCATTTTCTCACATTTGCCTTACATGTTTCGGCTCACAAAGAGCGATCATCAGAGGCAACCACAACAAAAACATGGAAACACTTGCACTGCTCAACAATCACAATATACAGTTTTTTGTGGAAGATGTTACACGTATCGGAGCGTAAAACACAACAACATCCAGTACCTCGAGTGCGGGTATCCCATTTGCATTTAAAATATCACCCACAAAGCGGGTCGTTAATGTTAAAATTAAAGTTAAAACCGTCCAAGTAAAATATTCAGGTTCCTCTTAGTGGATAGTCCCAATGGGGGAGGCGTCAGCACGAGGTTGTGTGGGCTTGTGGTCGGTTGTGTCCGACGCGTAGTGTATTGTGTACTCGGCGGACACAACCGACCACAAGCCCACACAACCTCGTGCTGACGCCTCCCCCATTGGGACTATCCACTAAGAGGAACCTGAATATTTTACTTGGACGGTTTTAACTTTAATTTTAACATTAACGACCCGCTTTGTGGGTGATATTTTAAATGCAAATGGGATACCCGCACTCGGGGTACTGGATGTTGTTGTGTTTTACGCTCCGATACGTGTAACATCTTCCACAAAAAACTGTATATTGTGATTGTTGAGCAGTGCAAGTGTTTCCATGTTTTTGTTGTGGTTGCCTCTGATGATGGCTCTTTGTGAGCCGAAACATGTAAGGCAAATGTGAGAAAATGGTGACAAGAATATATATTGTTACACTCGACGGAGGTTCTATTGATAATTGGTGATTGATAGTGTAACGGACCAAAATGAAACAATTCAAAATAAGAAAATTGAGTGTTAACACCTCATTGTCAATTTGATTTGTCTCATTCTGGTCCGTCACACTACAAATGACACAGCATGCACATAAACTACACGACTAATAATAAGAACATAAAATCAAGAGAAATAAACGACATCTCCCACCATCAGGAGGAAAACAACATGACCCAATGTCAGCTCACAATATTTTAACATAATAACTAATTTTTACATGCAAAAAAAATTTTAATACAATTTTAAATACATTGGAAGGCTACTGTATGGAAAAGTAAACATCATATCGCGTGCAGTGGAAAATCCCAATCAGAATACCCAGCAAATACGCTTAAAAGAAACAGCATCATACGTAAATCTACACTTCGAGAAGCACCATCGTGAATGCCCAAGACAAACATCAAAACCAACCGTGATAATAACAAAATTTATATAGTGAGCATTATTCATAGCTTAAGTGCATATTGTTAAAACATCTTATGTGACAGTGTTTCCCGATCATAATGGTGTGCCTCTGAGGATGATTCTTTTGAATTGAAACATGTAAGGTGAATAAAGACTGAAGTGTTGTAAACTTGTATGTCACACTGGACTGAAAAATGACCTCAATGTCAGTTTAATAATGAAGCAATTTTTGTGTTGATGGCTCATAAAAATGCCTGTAATACAAGAGACAAGACAGGGTAAAAAAGGAAAGGTACAGTGTTTGTGTTTGTCATCAGTAACATTGATATTCTTGATATGGTTTTACTTGTGAAGTTTGCCTGATTCAGATATATCTGAACTTGCAGTACTCAAAGGCATGAGAACCATTATGATTCAAGTATTAATTGAATGCAAAATGTATAAATTAAGTGCCACTATCTTTCCATGATATGGCTTTAAAATCTTTTTTCTTATGGTTCTTTTAACATCTGGATTCAGCTGCATATTGTTACTGAGACATGTAGGTTTTGAGGTTTTCACAGCAGTTGGTATGAAGAGCTCTATCATCTGGGACTCAATGCAGTGTAATCCATTGAAACTGAATCAACGTTTCAGTGGAACTTGTCACCTCCAGTTTCAGGGATGAATAATAAGCCACTCAAGCTCTTCTTGCTACCTTCTTCATTTTAGTTTTTTGTTTGGCTTATTTTTCAGTGCTGAAGATGGAGGTGACATATTCTACTGAAATGTTGGTTGCATTTCAACAGACTACATATCATTGTATCCCAGATGACAGAACTCTTTTTATTATTGAGATAGTTGCTTTTCAGTTTGAACTGTAGTTTTTTCATTGCAAATAGAATTAATTGCTACGCATTCTTGAAGCACATTACTTTTTATTTATGTAGCAAAATGTGGCAGCAGTATTTATGTGTAAAATATGTGGTTGTTGCAGTGGGCTGCCGAAGTGACAGTGACTGCTCAGGTCAGCATTCATGTGTGAACCGCAACTGTGTGCCGGTATGTTCACCAGACGGAAGTTCATGTGGCCATGCTGCCATCTGCTATGGAGCCAAACACCGTGCTGTTTGTGAATGTCCACCTGGCTTGTCAGGCAATCCTAAAGTGGCATGTGTTTTCCTGGGCTGTCGATCTGATTCAGAATGTCCTACCAAACAAGCTTGCATCAACAGTCAGTGCATAAACCCTTGTGATGATAGAAATCCATGCATAACACCTGCTGAATGCCATGTATATAATCATCGTCCCACCTGTGCTTGCCCACCAGGATATGTTGAGGACACTCCACTAACATGCAAGAGTAAGTACTTAGAAGGATAGTCTTTTAAAAGATTTGTGTAGGATTGTTCTGGAACTTGATGGGAGCATAAACTTTTAAATGTAACCCATCATGAAAATGAATAATAAAAAATTAAAGCTATCCCTGTAACAGGGCGTGGAGACCCATAAGGTTGTGATATGTCAAGGCTCCCACATTTTCTCTAGATAATCAGCTCACAAGTGGCAGTGAGTTTGTAAGCCTTAGGCACTGGCCGCTCTTTACCCCCAGGAAGATTCCTAGTACTCATTTCTGTTAGAGGCCAAGTCGACCCCATGGCTATAGAGCAGCTGGAAGGATTAGGCCAATTGAAAAATCCAATGACCTCATCAGGAATCAAACCCAGGACCTTTTGGCTTGTAGCATAGTGCCTCAACCAACTACACTACTGCATGCCCCTGAATATGACCAGTACCAATTAATATTCTATCTTGCATTGATGATATTAAGGTAAAGCTGCCGAAAGAAGAGAAAACTGTTTAATATACTGAATGACAATCCAGAGTAGAAACAGAAATTACTGATGTGGTAAGATATGGTAAAATATCTGCTATAGAAATATTTCTGTAACATAGAAATCCTACATACCAGAAAGATGCAATATGGCATTGTAAAAGTGTGATGCTTGTATGGATAAATCTCATATAATTAAGATGTCAGAACTTAGGGTCCTTTAAATTTTGTTGTTTGATGATTACATTGGCACCAACCACCCACCTGCCTACCATCCCCCACACATGAATACAGTTAATTCAGCTCCATGTATCAGAACACGAACTAAACCATATATTTGTTCAAGACATATTTCTTCTTCTAATTATCCCCCCTCCTCCAATTAAACACAGTGGAATCCCCATTCAGAAGTAATTTAAAGTTGTCTCTAAGTAATATTCACATTTTTACTGTCCTGAACCATTCACTACCCTCCAATTCTGAACTCTTACTTTATTGCCTACATCCAACCATCTTTTTATGGGGATGGAGTCTGTTTGGACTTATAAATATTTCTATCCTCTATTCGAAATTGTTAATAAGATACAGGCCTAGTAAGAAACATTTCTATATGTGAGTGATGAACAGTCATTTAGTTCATATTGTCACGTGTCTTGAGTTTGAATCTTGTTGATCACGTGTGTAAGTTCAATCCCACTTCTGACACCAGTTGTCACGTGTTGGGTGTATAACATGACAAATAATTTCACTGCTGACTGGAGAACTGTCTTCGGCCGCTGATACACTTTTAACTGACAACAACTGTACTTGGCGACGGCCACATTTCAACTCACTTCGTAGGAAGTGTGGTTCGCTTATATAGTCGCAGCGTTTGCCTGTTACGCAATGGGTACTGCTGTTGCCTGGTGTCATGTTGACAGCGGCGTTGCGTGCCATGTCACAGTGCGGAGGGGGGGGGACAGAGTGCTGACTCACCTGCCACATCACTACTGGGTAGGGAGGGGTTGTCCATCGTCACTCCCACCGGTATTACTATGGGGACCTCTTCTTCTTGTGCCGCCACAGGTTTCATGTCCACTGGGGCCGGCTTTTCTTCTACTAGACGTACCTCCATCTCTTGGTAGGCTGTTGTCTTTAATTCTTCTTCTAGATGCGCCTCCGTTGTTTCTCGGCAGGCCTTCATCTCTTTCTGCCAGGCATCCATATTGGCTTGCAACCTCTTCTCTCACATGGCAGCCGTCCTTGCTTTGATGGCTCTCGTTCTTGCTTGGGTAGCTTTTGTCTCTGCATCCAACTTCTCCGCAGGCGTCCATCTCTGGTCACCAGGCTTTCAAGTCGGCATCTGCTTTCACTTGGTTTGCCCTCATGTTGGCGTCCATTCTTGCCAGCATGTCGATTATTCGCTGCATCTCCATTTTGTCGCAGTAAAGTACTCGATGCACAATAATTCAATTATTTGTCAACACCAAATTGTCACACATTTAGACACTGAAACTTGTTGGTAACGTGTGTAAGTTCAAATCCCACTTCTGACACCAAATGTAACGTGTTTCGTTACTGAAGATGCCGTTTGGATTGTTAACTGGTTTATTTAACAACCTACAAGTCTCGGCTACAATTATTTATAACACGGTTACGGGTTTACACACTTTACAACCCTACACACAAATATCATCTCACTATCACGATTCACTCGTTACAACTGAACTCGGTGACTGCTACAATTCAACTGTGTTAGGCGACTGCTATATTTCAACTCACTTCGTAAGCAGTGTGGTTCACTTATATAGTCACAGCGCTTGCCTGTTACGCAATGGGTACCGCTGTTGCCTGACATCGTGTTGACAGTGACGTTGCATGCCATGTCACAGTGCGGAGGGGGGGGGGGCAGAGCGCTGACTCACCTGCCACATCACTGCTGGGTAGGGAGGGGTTGTCCTCCATTGCGCAACATGTCACAATATTTACATTCTCTGTGAAATGTATAAAAAGTATTGCCACAATTGTGAGTGACTCTTGATGGGGTTTTGGATTGGATATTGGATTTATTGACCACTTACTGATCATAGCTACAAGCAACTATAACAGTCTCACTGAATTACACACTCCAAATATTACTGTAACTACAGCACACATAAGTCTTCTCTGCCTTCACTAGATGTTTCCTGATAACAGATTTTAACACTGGAAATTCTTCAGCTTCTGTGCTAACTGCATTGACTATGTCTTGTTGTCACAGACTCCTTGCAGTTCTCTCATTGCTTCAGCTAGCTAACTCCCAGTCTGGCAGCCATTTCACACCAACCTCCTCATCATTTCTTCACAGCTGGACTCTCAACTGAATAGCTCCCAGCCTGGTGGCCATTTGACACTAACCTCCTACACTTCTCAGCAGCCTCAATTTTAACTGAGTACTGAATTCACTGTTCCAAACTGTTCCAGTTATAACATCTTAGTATGGGCCACACAGAAAACACCATTCCCATGTTGCTGTTTATTTGTTGCTTATTAAGAATCTGCTGCCTAGCAACAGATGTTGTCCTATTGTTTGTTTCATGGTCATTGCCTAGAAATGAATGTTGTTTCAGAGCCATTCACCAGCAACAGCTGTTTCTTTGGCACCACGGTTCTTGCTTTGAGCAAATATGCCACATTGCTCCCTTCTTAAGGATGCTCATCTCGACTAGCCTATCAGTGTGTCACCATTCCTTCCTTTCCAAGGGCTGTGACATCTGTGATCAGTCTCACCTTCCTCCTCATTTCTCATACCGATTACTTCCCAATCGCTTCTGCTGCTCCATCCTTAAGGCCACTCTTTCTGAGCGGTTCTCTCATAGGGTGCCAGTCAGTTCAGGTTTATCACCATCATCTGGCTTTTCTGATTGGTGGGAGAAAGACTACCTAAGATGGCCGATGCTCCTGCATCTCAGGCTCTTACTATGTGCAGTCTCTTCTTTCAATTTGGAGGGGGCTGGCCTGTCCACAATGTCCTGACATTCATTTTCAAAATTTCCAATTACAGCACACATAAGTCTTCTCTGTCTTCACTAGATGTTTCCTGATAACAGATTTTAACAGTGGATTTTCTTCAGCTTCTGTGCTAAGTCTTCTTGTGGGCTGCCCCATAGATCAAGCGGTTAGTCCCTGGCTTCCCACTGCGGCGGTCCAGGTTCGATCCCGGGTCTGATCAAGTGGGATTTATGGTGGACAGAGTGGCACTGAGGCAGGTTTTCTCTGAAATCTTTAGTTTCCCCTGCCAATCTTCATTCTACCAATTGCTTCACAATCACCCTCACCTATCATCTGGGGCTGGTACAATAGGCCAGAAGTGGCCGCAGTACAAGGGACATAGTCCCACCCCACTAGCAATAAAAAAAAGTCTTCTCATCATAGACTCAGTACTTCAACTGACTAGCTCCCAGGCTGGCGGCCATTTCACACCAGCCGCTTAGTCTTCTCCCCATAGCCTGACTTTCAAGTGAACACTGAACTCATTGCTTCAAACCACCCCTGTTATAACATCTCAGCATGGACCACACAGAAAACACAGTTCCTCTGTTGCTGTTCAGTTGTTGCTTATTAAGAATCTGCTGCCTAGCAACGAACGGTGTTCTGTTGTTAATTTCACAATCATTGCCTAGAAACAGATGTTTCAGAGCAACAGCTGTTTTGCTGGCTTTGTAGTTCTTACTTTCAGCATATATGGTACAATATGTTTACATGTTCACATGTTCGTACCTGCATTTATGATTAAAGATGCAAGTGTTGTATGATAAGTTGTTCAGCTGAAATACAAACTGAAAAGAATTGGTTAGAATCATGAGTCATAGACCGAGCATGACAGTAAGATGATTGACATTCATGTTTTATATTCAGGATGTCTGAGGTCTGGAACTTAACTTGTGGCTACCATTCTCTTAGCACCATAAAGCAGACCATGAACACTTCATACCATGCACTTTCTGATTCATTCACCATTAGCCTTTCAGTGAATGCTACAGACATCACCTACAGAATTGTTAAATAAACCAAGAATTCATCTGTCAAAGGTCACAGAAACAGGAACTTTGTATGAAAACATGCTATGAATATATGATTGAGGCATGTGATATGCTTCTTTATAATTAACAGAGAATTTCAAAATTATTTCTGCACCAAGAACTTTTCATTACAGCTGAAGAAAAGGGATGCAGGGAGGACTATGACTGCCCATCTCAGACAGCTTGTATTGGAGGGGAATGTGTGAATCCATGTGATGCTACTGAACCTTGTGGGACAAATGCAAACTGCAGGGTTTTGGACACTGTGCCAGTGCGAACCATGATCTGTGAATGCCTGCCAGGTTATCATGGAAATGCTGCAGTTCACTGTGATAAGAGTAAGTTTCTCTTATATGCTGATAATGGAGCAAATATCAGCAAATGCATGGGGACATTGTATTGACACTATGGGATAATATAAGTGAAGGCTTGCTTACACACTAACCTAATGGATGTGAACTTAGGTAGGACCCAGTGCTGATGTGAAACTGAGATTATCACAATTTTAAATTCAAGAGAACTATACCATAACCTTCTATACTCTTTCAATACTAGAATGACTTTAGTGTAGAGAAATGATTGCAGGTAACACTGGATGACAAGAAAGAATTATGTCTCTGTCATATGTACAGAAATGGATACATTTTTTTTATCACTAAGTTTGAAAATGACCACCAATTTTGAGTGAATCATAAATTAAATTTGGTCTAATATAAAGATATAACAACAACATTAAAGCATAAATTGCACACTGAACTCATCTGAAGTGTAGCAGGCAGCAAGCAAAGTTCTGCTTGATGCCTGCTTGATGTTGGTTTCTTGCTTGGTTTATTTTTCGACCTTGAAGTTTGGGGCAGTATTTTCCTCAGAAATGTCAGTTGACTTTCACTGGGCTCATGATGTTATGTCCCAGAAGACAGAATTGCTGAATGGTATTTATTTTCATTATTGAGCAACACAACTTTCAAACACAGCTTCAAGAAATATTAATATTTCCTGTGATATTCATTAAAATGAGAATTGCAGAAATACTTCAGCTTAAAGATCGGTTTTCTTACAGTTTCAACATGCCGAATTGATAAGGGATTCATCCGCAATGAAGCTGGAGAGTGTGTGTGCCCACCAGGGACAGGCCTTAATGAGAATGAGGACTGCATCCGTTGCCCAGAGCAGAATGGCCTGAAGGTGGATGAGAGAGGTCACTGTGTGTGTGCTCTGGATCGAGGCTTAATTATTGATGAGAGAGGCAACTGTATTTGCCCTGTTGAGTACGGTTACATGCTGAATATCAGTGGCTACTGCAATAAACGTAAGTAGCAGAAACACATGTGACTTAAATTTATATTCATCATATACTTACTTACTTACTTATGGAACTGAGCTCTTCTTGAGGAGAAGCCAAATCTGTAGCTACTCAAGAATTTCCCAGCATTTTATGGAAACCAAAGGTTCATTACCATGTTCACAAGAGCCCTCCACTGGTCCCTATCCTGAACCAGATCAATCCAATCCACACCATCCCATCCTATCTCTCTAGGATCCATTTTAATATTGTCCACCAACCTACTCCTTGGTCTTCCCAGTGGTCTCTTTCCTTCTGCCTTTCCCACAAATATCCTATATGCATTCCTCTTCTCCCCTATTTATGCTACATGCCCTGCTCACCTCATCCTCCTTGACTTGATCGTTCTACTTTTACTTGGAGAAGAGTACAAGTTAGGAAGCTCCTCATTATGCAGTTTTCTCCAACCTCCTGTCACTTCATCCCTCTTCTGTCCAAATATTCTCCTCAGCACCCTGTTCTCAAACACCCTCAGTCTGTGTTTCTCCCTTAATGTCAGAGACCAAATTTCACACCCATATGGAACCACAGGCAAAATTATAGTTTTGTATATTCTAATTTTTATGTTTTTGGACAGTAGATGAGAACATCAAAGGTCCTGGACTAAATGGTAGCAAGCATTACCCAGGTTCAATCTCCGCTTAATTTTCTGCTGAATCGTGTTTTGATCTGTTATTGTTGTTCCAAAGTATCTGAACTGTGCTACATTTTCAAAACATCTGTATCCTACCTTTATGTCAAGATTTTGAACTGCATTTTGGTGACGAGACAGCAACATATACTTGGGCCGCTTTCAGACAAGACACACAGTGTCCAGCGACTGAAAATACATTAGCATGAATACTAGCATTCACACAAGCGTCTCAGTGTCCCACATCCAAGACACTGTGTCCCAGCTGTGTCTTTCCCCTTCAGTGGCCGAGACACTGACTTCTGGTCTGGCCGCTCGAAGTGCATTGAGTTGTATGCTAGCATTCAGATGGGACATACAGAGTCTAGCGTCATTGATGAAATGGTGGACAAACATTTTGATACATCCATCTGAATGACTGAGGGCAACATCGACGTGGGGTTCTGACGTCAGAGCCACTAAGTGTGCTTGTTGTGGCGTTGAGTGGCTGTGCCCCAGACACTAGTCGCAAGCCACCATGTGTCTTGTCTGAAAGCAGCCTTTGTTTTCTCTGTGTTTACTTCTAAACCAACCCCTTACTTGCGTCAATTAAAGTTTTTGTGTTTTTCTTTATGGTATCTATATTATCACCCAGTAGATTCACATCATTAGCATAGACCAACAGCTGATGTGTCCCCTTTTAATTTCAGTCCCACTTGGTTTCCCTGGACCTTCCTAATGGCAAATTCTAAAGCAAAGATGAACAGGAGTGGCAATAAAGCATCTCCTTGTTTTAGACCATTCTGGATAGGAAATTTATCAGACAAATGTTTACCTACACGGGCTTTACTATATGTTTCATTTAAACACATTTTAATCAGCCTAACTAGTTTCATGGATACCCCATACCCATATCAGAATATTGTACAATACTTCCCTCCTAACTGATTCATATTCACCATATAGTCATTAAATGAACACATACACATTTCTTTCAGTGGTTGTTCTATTATAACTACAGTCTCAGTATCTGTTGCTTTAATAATGAGATGTCCATTGTAGTTATATGCCATCATTTACAGGCAGCATTTTATGTGCTGACTTTGGATACATGCATTGTGTAACTGTCAGATAATTTGTATTAAATATTTCTTTTGTTTTAGCTGGAAACTCTTCCCAGTATATGTTGCCCTCTTCAGACTGATATTTATACTTGTGTTATATTTGAGCTATAAAATGGCCAACTGAATTACAGTGTAGTGCAAGTTAATCTTGGACCTTACAAATTTGTTATTGGCTTGGCTTTTTTGACAGGATCTCATTATAAAGTAATTTCACATAATAGAGCCCCTTCGCGGACCGGTGATTTAAATATTTAAATCACCCTGNACCTTATAGGTACTGTCGTACGCCTCACAGTGTTGGAGATAGTATCTGTTGGTCTCCTGACACAACATGTCAAAGAAACTATCTCCAAAAAACAGTTCAGCTACTTCAGACACTTGCGTAGGGTCTGATGGCATTTGTCTCACCCCTGGATCACCAGTAAACTTTCCCAAAGTGGGTGTTTTGTCCACTTTACCCCATGTGGCTGTCCCCGCAATGCTAGCACTCGCACTTTCATCAGAGCTCTCACTGTCACTTTCACTTTCTCTTCTTGTGACAATATTCTGGGGGCCCCTGTCACTGCCACTGACACTGCCCTCACTATCAAAAGACGAAGCACTTGGCAAGTCAGATAACTCATCGGAGATCGAATCACAGATTTCTTCTTCTCCGAGAGCTCGCACGGCCTTCAACTGCTTTCGTCTCTGAGCCATGTTGACACTGAGAATATCTTGCCTCACACGTAGAAGCTTCGACTTGAACAAAGGGACTTTTCTTTAGAGTGAGAGGGGAATAGAGAATGGTCACGTTGCTGATTCGGAAAACAAACATTCCGAAGGTCAGCTACACAGTACTTTTACAGACACATGGCCACCAAAGCGAGGAATAGTGTGTTGCAACATAACGTGTCCTAAAAGCCTAAATCTAGGCGACCGGTCTGCCACGTTTAAAACCCAAACGCCTAGGCCTAGGCATCTGGTTCACGAAGTGTTAAGCATCTGTAACTCTGTAGCTGCTTAGGACAGCTCATTGTGCTTCCTCTTTCCTTTATAACTGAATTTTTCTTTGTAGATGAACTCACATGTTAATGAATTTAGGAAATCTTATTAAAACCTTGATGATAGTGGTACATTTGTTACAGCCTGGAGAAGGATAAATCCTAATTACTACTAAAGTAAAGTAAAAGTAAAGTTATTCCTGTAACAGGCCGTGGAGGCCCATATGGTTGTGAGAGGTCAAGGCTCTCATATTTTCTAGGCAATTGGCTCACAGATGGCGGTGAGGTCTTACGCGCTGGCCGCCCTTTACCCCCGGGAATATTCCTGATACTCATTTCTGTTAGAGCCTGGGTCAATCCCAGGGCCATAGTGCATCTGGAAGGATTAGGTAAACTGAATAATTCCACCTCATTGGGATTCGATCCTGCGAGCTTCCAGCCTAAACAAACTACTCTACCATGTGCCCCCTCAAAATTACTACTACTGTTATTTATTTATTTATTTATTTATTCTATAATAGCATATATTATATTATGTTAAATGACTTGATGGCAGTGAATAATAAATTTGAAAGGATGTGGAAAGAAATGGCTATGGCCTCATTTAAGGGTCATCTTGGTGCTTGTCTGGAGTGACTGAGGAAGCTACAAAAGACTTTAGTCAGTACAGTCAGCGTTTGGCTGAGATTCAAGCTGGGCACTTCTGAATGCAAATATGAAGTGTTGTTTTCTTAGGGAGATACTCAGTTTGAAACATGGATAGTTGTGGGCTATTTTGGCTGTGTTCTTATGACTTTGTCTTAAGCGGCCTCTGTAGTCTAGGTGTAACGTTCCCACCTCATGACTCAAGGTACGCGGGTTCAAACCCGGCGGAGGTCATGGAATT